TTTTTTTTTTACTTTACCCATTATACTTGGACCACCCTCTTTCCTAGACAGCTTTAGTTAAAAAAAAAAAAAGTGGAGCCACACCACAGCTAAGTACCCTTTCCCCACCGCTTTTATATTCAAACTTCCTATTAAAGACTAATCCTACAGTAATCCACCCACTGTGGTAGACATCCAATTTTTTTGATGATTGATTTGTTATCATTTTGGTTTTGCTTTTCCCAGTGTGAAATTATAAACTAGTCTCAGCAAAGAGCTGTGGTATTATTTATGAATATTTCAGATTAAAATACAAAATTTCAGAAGATAACATTTAAATTCATAAAAGTAAAATCAAAGCAGGCCTTCAAATAGACAAGAATGTAGTTCTCTAATGTTTATTCCAGACTAGGAAAGAAAAACTCATTCCTAGTCCACTCCCACAAATGCTCACTGGTCCTCCAATTGCCCTACTGATAGCTGAAGCAAACAATGAAGAGCAAGTTCAACACATCCAAAAATGTTCACTCTAATAAACTACCTGTTGTTATAATATATTCTAGATACATACAATGCAGAGAGTCTTTCCTGGCAGCTTCTTTTAGAAAAAGTTACTACTATCAAACTTTACTTTTCAAGCTTTTGTCATGTTAAAGAACTTTTCACAAGAAATCTGTAGTAAATTAAAATTAGTTAGGTTAGGTATCTGGTAGAAACATATTTTTCTCATTTCTAACACATTTCTCATTTATTTATAGTTACATACGGACTTCAAGCTTCTATTTTAAAATCATTCCAGCCACTTAATGGAAGACCTACAATATGCTTTAAAAAGAAACTGCTTATATTGCAGGTCATGTGAGAAACAAAATCATCTTAAATAGTTAGAAAATTCAGAATTACAGTGGTATACTGCAGAGCTTTATTACACTATTCTATCAATAATAGAATATTCAGTTACACTAATCATCTAACAAGGACTTATTAACTTAATGACAATTAGTCATTTTAAAAATATTTTGCACACGAGTGAAGGCACAATCACAGACTCCAGTTGTAATTACTTGATCATAATTTATTCCCTATCAACTTCAGGGCAACCTCTTTTGGGTAGTACAGAATCCTCATGCTTGTCTTTACCGACAATGTGCCTGGCCATTATCTCTTTCATCCTATTCACAGGACCAAATAAAACATGCATCTGTTACTTAAATAAAGTTTTGCCTGGCTACTGGAAATGAACCAAATATAACCCCTGGGATCCATGCAAATAAAATATCCTCTGTGCCTAGATCACTCTCAGTTTTTACATCATGAAGACAAACAAATAAAAGCTCCTCCTCAAGAAGCAGGTGCTTATGGTTTGGTTACTCCTGTCTAATGGCAGCAAAATATTCAGTGATCCACAAGAAGTCAGATCAGTTATGGTCAGTATGCATAAGAAATAAGTAAAGCAAAACTACAAAAATGACAAAATGAAAAGTTAAGTTGCCTAATATTATGTACCCTTGTCTCCTCCACCAAGTCACAAAGCTCATCATTACAGCAATCACTGCACAACAAAACCAATGTACTACAAGCCTTGACACCTGGAAAGATCATGTAGCAGATCCTCAAGAAATCTACTGTGAAGCACCTAGATATGAACTAGGGAATCAGGAACCAGCATGAACATAAAGTGCAAGTTGGGCCTGGCCAACCTGATTTCCTTCTGTAATAAAGATAATAGGCTCTGTGGGTGGAGGAAGACCAGTGGATGTGAAATACCGTGACTTTAGCACAGTTTCTGACAGTCTCCCACAACAGTCTCATTAATAAGCTACGAAAATACAGGCTAGATGAAAGTACTGTAAGATGGATACATAACTGGTTTGACGACTACTTGCTGACCACAGTGATCCATGGCTCAATGCCTAGCTGGGAGGTATCAAGTGGGGTTCCCCAGGGGTCTGTCCTGGGACCAATATTGTTCAACATCTTCTTTAATGACTTAGATGATGGGATCGAGTACATACTTAGCAAATCTGTGGATGACGTTAAGCTGAAGGGAACTGCACACACTGGAGAGTAGAGCTAGGATCCAGAATGACCATGATAGACTGGAGAAACGGTCCACAATCAGGTGAGATTAAACAAGGGCAAGCGCACACTCCTGCACTTGGGACAGAATAATGACATGCATGAATAAAGACTGGAGAATGACTGGCTAAGCTGCAGTACTGCAGAAAAGGGTCTGGGACTTAGAGTAGAACATAAACTGAATATAAGCCAACAGTGTTGCTCTTTTTATAAAATGAGATCAACAGCCTACTGGATTGTATTAACCAAAATATCACTTGAAAAATCAAAGGAAGTGATTTTCCTTCTATTCAGCATTGGTGAAGCCTCACTTGGACTACTGTGTCCAGTTTTGGGCTCCACAGCTCAAGAAGAATATAGAGAGACTGGAGAGAGTCCAGAGCAGAGGGACAAAAATCATTAAATGCCTGAGAAGCAAGACTTATGAGGAAAAAACAAAACAACTCTAGGCATTTAGCCTGAAGAGAAGAATGAAGGGGAATTTGATAACAGTCTTCAAATACCTGAAGCATGGTTATGGAGAGGATGGAGATGGGTTTTTCTCTGTAGCTGAAAGAGACAGAACTAGGATCAATGGTCTCAAGCTGCAGGAGATGAAATTTAGGTTGGAGATTAGGAGGAACTTTCTGACTATGAGGGTGGTCAAGCATTAGAACCCATTATCTAGAGAAACTGTGGCATCTCCATCCTTGGAAATATTCAAGAGCAGGATGGTCAGACACTTGGCTGGGATAGTTTTGTCAGGGAAGTTTCTGCCTTGAGCAGGGGCCTGGACTGGATGAACTTATGAGGTCCCTTCCAGCCCTTCTTTTCTATGATCCTACAAATTTCATCCCAGCAGAGATGGCAGCTCTGATGATAAAAATGCTTTGCACAGAACATCAGACAATGGAAAGAGCCAAAAATGAGGATTTGACTAAAAGTATCTGGGGCAGATGCAGTTTCCTACAAAAACAAGAAAAAAGCTATCAAATTGAGCTGCCATTGTCAGTGCAAAAACAGATCCCTCTGTAAGTGGTTACTGCTCATTTGTGATACAACAGAACCTTTTCTACTACTCTGGTATACAGTAAAATCCAAGCCGATTTCTTTATTAACTGACAGAGATATTATCTTATGCTACACTGGTATAAACATAAGAGTAAACTGAAGTTTAGTTACTCTGGTAAGTGATTTATCACTTCATTAGGCCTTATTTAGAAGGTTAAATGCATCTATAGTAAGTGACATTGAAAAGTACATTAATAGGTTTGTCCTCTGAAAACAACATGTATTGTTAAGCATCTCGAAATATCTCACTCAGCCACAGTTCAATAAAGCTTCTTGAATATATGGACTTTTTGTCACAAAAACAAAGGTTTATAGCTTGGTCTAGTGGATAAGAAGCAGCTGGGGATATTCAAAACCCTGGTGTGGTTTTACCTCAATTGACTTCTGTATTTTCTCAAGATGTGCATTGTTGGTCTGCAGCATATCAAGGACTCCTGCAGCTGTAGCTGCCCTAAGAGCATTTGGGTCTTCCTCTGTATGTACCATGATCTCTTTCCATTTGTTATTGACCTGAGAGAAAAGAGTTGCTTCTTCTGGAAGCTGCCTATTTAAATCACAGATAATATTATAAATCAATTTTTAGAACGCAGTATCAAAATGTTTTTCATTCTGATTTGTATTTGTCAATTTACTTTAAGATCTTTTTCTTACATACTTTATATTGCTTTCCAGATTCACACTTCTGAATTCATATACATATACAGAGCCAGAGCAGCTACAAAGCAATTAACCATTCACAGAGCTGTATGCTTCAGCAGAAGTCTACATACCTAGGTATTTATGCCTAGGAGTCCTCCTCCACTGAGCATTACTCGTTGTTTCTTACTGGCTTAAAACACTACTGAGGACGTGATTCCCTGTTTTGATAAAATGACTGTGACATGCATAGCATGCATTATTACCTTTGTATTTCTGCAGAATGAAAGATTGGTTCAAGATAAATCCAGTTCCTTTGGCAGAGTAACCATTCCTCCAGAGTGTGAGCAAAAAGATTCAATTTATGATCCCATCCATCCACAAGATTCTACCAGATAAAATATAATATTTTATTATTATAGTAACATCTACATTTGGTGGAAGTTCTTGCCATCTGAAAGATGTTACCAAGGGACTCTGAACCTTCATTTTTATAGAATTTAAGTAGGCCCTAGCATTTATTAAATAAAAGGTTTTTATGCACTTCATACAATTTGAGAGGATAATCCCTACTTCATTAGAAACTAATTATTTAAGTCTGAAAAGAATCTACTAAAGTATTGTACATGTTTATAGGTTTGTTATATTTTCAGTTATAATAGGTACAAATATGTAAATATTTTTTTTCCAGTCAAGTTTCACTTCAGGGCACTGGCATAAATTAAAATGTAGCTTTACCTGTAATAATATATATTATGGAACTGGATCCTGGTCTCCTTACAAGTTATTCTCACTGAAGTCAAATACTGCAAACCTATTTCTAAATCCCATCTAACAAAAATGTCTTTGTCCATCCTTGCTTTAAAAAAAAAAAAAAAAAAAAAAAAAAAAAAAATTTTTTTTTTTTTTTAAAAACAAGGGGGACAAAAAATTTTTTTTTTTTTTTAAAAACAAGGGGGACAAAAAATTTTTTTTTTTTTTTAAAAAAGGGGGGAAAAAAAATTTTTTTGCCCCCCCTTGTTTAAAAAAAAAAAAAAAAAAAAAAAAAAAAAAAAAGTGACCAAGTTGTTCTGTAGTGCTATCCTAAAACCACCTAGCCAGCATAACTAGTTTTCTTTCAATGTATTAGTACACATACAATAAGTTCTGTATATTTTAGTACTAGTCAATCAGTCCTAGAACTAGAAACTAACTGTTTGCAGTTGCAAACTAAATGGAGACTACAGCAATACATATTTCACTCCTTAGAAATGAACAGAAAAGCAGGAACATTGAAAAAAAGGTTATTTACCAGTAGCTGTAGTTATTCAAGATACTTGGTCCATTCATACATACATTCCACTACTGGTATACATGTGCCCCATGCTTAAGCTCAGACCTTCTTGCCCTAGCAGTATCCATACAATGTGTGCGCTTCCTGCCTCTCCTCAGGCTTTGTAAGATGGGCAAAAAGGGTGGAATGTGCTCCCCATGTAGTGATTGCATAACTGTCACCAACCCAAATATCATAGAATCAATGAGTCGGAAAGGACCTAGACAGATCATCTAGTCTGACCCCATGCCATGGGCAGGAAGAAGCATTAGGGGTCGGAGGGGTCATGAGACCCCAGCCAGGTGCCTATCCAGTCTCCTCTTGAAGATTTCCAGGGAAGGTGAGAGCACCACCTCTCTGGGAAGCCTATTCCAGGCTCTGGCCACTCTTACCGTGAAGTAGTTCTTCCTAATATCTAACCTAAACCTGTCCTCCCTCAGCTTGTGGCCACTGTTCCTGGTGACTCCAAGGGGGACCCTGGTGAACAGATTTTCCCCAAGTCCTTGCTGGTGGCCCCTGATAAGGTTGTAGGCAGCCACAAGATCCCCCCTCAGTCTCCTCTTGCGGAGACTGAGGAGATTCAGGTCCCTCAGCCTCTCCTCATAGGTCTGGCCACGGAGGCCTCCGACCATACGAGTGGCCGCCTCTGGACCCTCTCCAGGTTCTCCACATCCCTCTTGAAATGCGGCGCCCAGAACTGGACACAGTACTCCAGCTGCGGCCTGACCAGCGCCGCATAGAGGGGGAGTAAGACCT